TTTTCTAGATCCCATCATTAAATTTCATGATCTACCTATTTTTAATTGCTGAGTAGTATACTACTGTTTAAATGGACCACAATTTATGCATCCATTCCACCATTGAGGGACACATAGCTGTTTTCAGATTATAGTTATTACGAATAGTGCTCCATGAACATGTTTGAGCAAACATCCTTGTTATATACCTGAGCATTTTGAATATATGCCTAGTACTGGTATACCTGGAACTTTATTTTAATTAATTTATTTTTAATTACAGTTTATTCATTTTATATCCCAGCTGTAGCCACCTCCCCACTTCCCCTCTAAATCCCACCATCCCTCCCTTTTCACTTCCCATGCCCCTCCCCAAGTCAACAGATAAGGGAGGTCTTCCTCTTCCCTCTGACCCTAGCCTATCAGGTCGCATCAGGACTGGATGCATTGTCTTTCTCTTTAGCCTGGTAAGGCTGCTACACCATCAACAGGAGGTGATCAAAGAGCCAGCCCCTGAGATCATGTCAGAGACAGTCCCTGTTCTCAATACTAGGTAACACAGATGCCATGGGCTACATCTCTGCCAGGGTTCTAGGTTATCTCCTTGCTTGTCCTTAGTTGGAGTATCATTCTCAGGAAAGACCTCTGAGCCCAGATTATTTGGTTCTGTTGCTCTCCTTGTGGAGCTCCTGTTCCCTCCAGGTATTTCTATCTCCCCCTTCTTTCACAAGATTCCCTGCACTCTCCCCAAAGCTTTGAGTAAGAGCATCTGCTTTGACCTCCTGCTGGGTAGTCTTTCAAAGGCCTTCTGTGGTAGGCTGTTGTCCTATTCCCTGTTCTCTCCCCCTTCAGATGTCCATCCAGTTTGGCTGTCTGAGTGAGGATTGATCATCTTACCCATGGTTCCTCCTTCTAGCTTAGCTTCTTTAGGTGTACATCTTTTAGTATGTTTATCTAATATATAATAATATATAATATAATATATATAATATAATATAATATATCTAATATCCACTTATATCTGGATCTTGAGGTAGCACTATTCCTAATTGTCTGAGAAAGTAGCAAATTGATTTCCAAAGTGGTTGCACAAGTTTACATTCTCACCAGCAATGGAGGAGGGTTCCCCTTTACCCACATCCTTTTCAGCGTGTACTGTCACTTGAGTTTTTGATCTTAGCCATTCTGGCGCATGTGAGGTGAAATCTCAGAGTTGTTTTTATTTGCATTTCCCTATTGACTAAGAATTTTGAACATTTCTTTAAGTGTTTTTCTGCCATTTGATATTCCTTTATTGAGAATTATCTGTTTATCTCTGTACCCCATATTTAATTGGTTTTCTTGACTTATTGCTGTTTTACTTCTTGAGTTCTTTATATATTCTGGATATTACCCTCAGGTATCCATAAGTGTGTGGGTTTATTTCTGGGTCTTCGATTTGATCCATTGATCCACCAGTCTGTGTCTATGTAACTACCAAAGCAGTTTTTATTACTGTTGCTCTTTTGTACAGGTTGATATTGGGGATGGAGATACCTCTGAATCTTTTATTGTAGAGAATTGTTTTAGCTATTCTGGGTTTCTTATTATACTGTATGAAGTTAAGGATTTTTCTTTCAAGATCTGTAAAGAATTGCGTTGGTAATTTGATTAGAATTGCATAGAATCTGTAGATGAATTTTGATAAGATGGTCATTTTTACTATGTTAATCCTGCCAAATCATGAACATGGGACAGCTTTCCATCTTCCAAGATCTTCTATTTATTTCCTCAGACTTGAAGTTTGTTTGTTTTTTTCATACAAGTCTTTTACTTGCTTGATTGGAGTTTCACCAAGGTACTTTATGTTATTTGTGGCTGTTGTAAAGGGTATAGTTTCCCTAATTTCTTTCTCAATCCTTTAGTCTGTCTAATACAGGTGGGCTACTGATTTTTTTCTTTTGAGCTTATTTTGTATCCAGCCATTTTGCTGAAGGTATTTATCAGTTGAAGGACTTCTCTATAGTTGACTTCTTGGAGTCAGACATGTATACTATCATATCATTTGCAAATAGTGATATTTGAATTCTTCCTTTCCGATTTGAATCCCCTTGATCTCCTTTAATTGTTTTATTGCTCTATCATGGACTTCAAGAACTATGTTGAAAAGGTAAGGAGAGAATGGGAAACCTTGCCTTGTCCCTGTTTTCAGTGGGATTTATTTGAGTTTCTATCCAATTAGTATGATGTTGGCGATAGGATTGCTGTATATTGTCTTTAATATGTATATGTACCTTGTATCCATGATCTCTCCAAAACTATAAACATGAATTTTGGAGAAGGTTCTGTGGGGTGATGACAAGAAAGTATACTCTTTGGAGTTTGCATGCAAAGTTCCGTAGACATATATTTAATACATTTGATTTAGGACCTCTTTTAGTGTCATTATTTCCGTATTTAATTTCTGTCTAGATGATATGTCCCTTGATGAAAGTGGAGTGCTGAAGTCTTCCAGTATTAAGGTGGTGGGATCGATGTGTGGTTTGAGCTTAAATAATATTTCGTTTAAGAATGTACGTGCTCTTGTATTTTGGGCATAGATATTCAGGTTTGTGATGCCCTCCTGTTGAATTTTTCCTTTGATGAGAATGAAGTGCCCCTCCTCTTCTTTTTTTTTTAACTTTTATTAATTTACACTTTATTCATTTTGTATCCCCCCATAAGCCCCTCCCTCCTCCCCTCCCAGTCCCACCCTCCCCCCCCTTTCTGCATGCATGCCCCTCCCCAAGTTCACTGATAGGGGAGGTCCTCCTCTCCTTATTTCTGATCTTAGTCTATCAGTTCTCATCAGAAGTGGCTGCATTGTCAGGGTTCTAGGTTATCTCCTCGGATAGTCCTTGGTTGAAGTATAAGTCTCTGGAAAGTTCCCTGTGTTCAAATTTTCTTGTTCTGTTGCTCTCCTTGTGGAGTTCCTGTCCTCCCAGCTCTTACTATTTCCCACTTCTTACATAAAATTCCATTCACTCTGCCTGTCAGTTGGCCATCAGGCTCAGCATCTGCTTTGACAGTCTGCAGGGCAGAGGCTTTCAGAGGCCCTCTGTGGCAGGTTCCAAGGTTGTTTCCTGTTTTCTTCTTCTGGCTTTCAGAGGCCCTCTGTACCAGCTCTTCACAGATCAGTATGTTCCTTTGCTATGCTTCCAAGGAGGGAACCTGTCACTACCATACTTTATAGTGCTGTATCTTAAACTCCTTCCCTCATATACTTGTAACTCAAGTGACTCCACAACTGTCAGTTTCACATCTTTTGTTTTTTTAGTAATCAGGTTGAGAAATGAGAAATCTTTTGGATAGTTGGGAAGAATACAGAGAAAAACCTAAGTTACAAAATCTCACTTTAAAATCAGAGTGATTTCTTTCACAGAAAACTCATTCTTTGTTAGCAGTGATTGCTGTCATGTTAAGCAAGTTTTGGCATTCTACAACTTCTCCCATAAAGAATGCTTTCCAATCTTGTCAGATCTAAACAAATGCAACCATACTGAGCAAAATCATTTATACTGACAGATTAATAGGAAAAAATAATCTTCAGTGTTAGTGTTTGATTTTTCAGTCTCTTGAACTTTCATGTATATTAAGGTGATTCCTCCATGTTGAATTATAAAGGTAAGCTTGTCAGGGTGATGAAGTTGGATCAGAATAATCCTATTGAAATTTGCCAGAGGGATGATTTAGTCAGTCTCTAAAATTTTTCATTGTGATGTTGATATGCCTCTGAAAGAAACAAAATTTACTAGACTAACTTTTTTAAAGTTGCATTTCATAGTCTTTAATGAAAACAGTGTTTCAGAGCATTGGATTTAAAAAGTAGTGTCACGGGCTATGTATCATTTTGTATCCCTTTCCTTGTCTCCCGAACTAGAATTTCATCAGATTCTGTTAATATTGATAGAACTGTCTTTGTTCATAATTAAAAGTCATACCATCAGGTTGTATAACATAGTTATAATTTTCTTTTTTCTTTAAATGTATCTCTGAAATAAAGGCACCATGAGAGACCTGAAAAGTGTACAAGTACTTAGGAGCAGTTTGAATACATTAGTTAAAATTATTAGTTGTCAGTGAGAAAAAGGAAAAGTGCAGAGAATGTTAGAGGTAATTAAAGCAACTAATGAAAGTATTTGAGGTCATGCTGAAGCTTTGTTGGTGTGCATATATATTCACTAGTGTTATCTCTAAACTCACCTGTTGTATCAACAACTCTTTCATGTCTCTGCTGAGTATCAAATCTTAAAGATAGGAATTTTTACAAAGGTGTTGGTTTAGAAAACATAGAGTTTAAAAAAAGTGAACATTCCATCCTTTTATATATGTTATCCTTAAATCATTTATATACCCAAGGTCTCTTTGGACCTTAGTTTCTTTTTAATCTTCAATTTTATTGTAAAGAATGAAATATTAGGTTTCCTGTCAATAAATTTAAATGGAAATGGGTTCATCTGAACTAATGGCTGAGTAAAATGGTAACATTCCAATATTAAATAGGATGATTTGGTATATTACATTACACATTTTCATTTACTTTATAGAGAGTAGAACTTTTTATTTTATTATTATTATTATTATTATTATTATTATTATTTAGTCTGTTTGTATCCCGGCTGTAACTTCCTCCCTCATCTCCTCCCACTCTCCCTTTTTTTTCCCCCTATGTCCCTCCCCTAGTCCACTGATAGGGGTGGTACTCCTCCCCTATTATCTGATCCTAACCTCTCAGGTCTTATTAAGATTGTCTGGTTCCTCTTTCTCTATGCCCTACTATGGCCACCTCGTCAGGGGGAGTTGATCAAAGAGCAGAGCAGGCAACCAAGTTCATGCCAGTGACTTGAGAGTAGAATTTTTATGAGCAGTCACTCAGTAAAATGTGAAATGACTTCGTGGAACCATTCTCTATATTTAAGAAAAATTTTTAGAGGATACTGTTTTTTGTTATTTTATTCAATACCTTGTAAATGATTCTAATCTTTCTGTACATTGTTCTTTAGTTTCAGCTCAAATACTCAAGAGCAACCTTGCAGCAATGGAACAAAACATTCTTCGTCTGGAGCGTGATATCAAGAATTTTCCCAAAGCAGAAAGTCACCGTGATAAGTTTGTAGAAAAGATGACGATATCCTTTATTTAAACATTTGTTTGGGTTTATATGTGTAGCTATCTATTCATCTATTTACTATGTGGTTAGTTCTAGACACCCTAGTCAATAACATCAGATGAGTTTGTGTGTATGCTATTTTTTTTACTGTTATTAGCAGCATAAATTTCATTTCACAATGTTTTTAATTTGGCAGGGTAAGCAAGGGAACAATTAGATAAAAAATTACCATTTCTGAAATATAAATTTTATTTGGAAGCTCACAAGGTAAGTCTTAGGAGGTTTGAGTATACCTAAAAGAACAATACAATCTTCTTTCATAACTAAGTGCTTAAAGGATAGAATCAGCATGAAATAATGACTTCGTGGAGAGGTTATACTTTTCTTTCTTCTTTGGATTCACATGCATTTTCTGAGAGTATACATGTAATTTGAATGAGTAATATCAGTAGGCTGAAAATTAAATGGATAGATATATTGATGGAAAGTGAAATTAATTGATCAGTAGCTGATATATTTCAATCAACTGTAATATATGTATAGAAAAAACAGTAAATATTTATTACTACATAAACACTTAAGAAACCATATTTCATATACAACATACTGATAAATTACACACAAACAGACAGACAGACATGCACACACATACACGCACACACACACATGAAAGGAAAATGTGAAAAAGCACCTTTAGTTTGAATTATTCAATGTTAAATCTGGTATCTTAAGATAAACTGCATTCAGAGCTGATTTTTTTTTTTTTTTTTTTTTTGGTTCTGGATTTTTAGAAATTAGAGCCATATCTTCCTCCTCTGGGTTTAAATAAGTATCTTGAAGTGCAGATTGATTCACTAGTTTATATATCTATGGGAATAAATACTACAATTTCTTTCTCATATAATAAGTAAATTCCTTCAACACCTGTATATAGTCACCTTCTTTCAAGGTTAAATCTATCACCTTTTTATTGTTCCTGTATTTCATTCCTACCCAACTTAGACATTACTTTCTGAACCTATGAATTTCTTATGACTGGTTCTTGGAATTTATATAAAAAATATTTTCCACTCTTACTGTTTTACCTCATTAAACAATGCTGTTTGGTCCTTGAGTGATGCTACATTTGTAAATAAGATTATTGAATGAACAAGGTTGTGAGCCAGTAGAAGCAGACAATCCTCATCTAGCTTTGGATTATATAACTAGCCACAGTAAGATGCTTAATACCGACATTTCACTTTATTGATGATTAGATTTATTTTTCTTTCAAATATGTTATGTTGTTCTTATGCTAGAAAAACACTTTTTTTTTTCTTTTGACTCTTGTGTCATGTTTTTAAAATTTAATTTGTGATCCTCTTGTTCTGTAGAGTATTTCCATTTACAATTGGCTTATGGACACAACAGATTGCAACTTTGAGTCTTTGTTCCTCATTTTAGAAAATTAAAACAAGAAAAAGAAAAAAAAACTAATTTTAAAACCTCATGAAATTTGACTAGACTCCCTATTTTATTTCTCGATTTATGTAGGTAATTAATAATTTTAAAATGAAAATCCAGACCTTTCAGTATCTGTATGGTACAGATGAATAGTATCTTCATTTAAGTGGTACTAAAGTATGACTTTGTCCACAAGGAGATTAGAAACTGTATTAAAATGTATAGGACTGTTACTTTGCATTTCATGGCAATAAAAGATATGGCAATTTATTACAGAAAATGGAATATTTAACATGTTAAAAACTATAAATTAATAAATTATACTAGGAAATTATTTTTCAGATTGCTCTTGTTCTGAAAATCTGAGTGGGTGCTTAGTGCAGATTTCAATTTTCTAGAATGACATGAGCAGAATGCAAAATTATCACATGTGCTCTATTTTTGTATTGTTTTGGTCATTGATCAAAGAAAATCTGAAAAGTCTGGCTGACAAGGGAGATTAGAACCAAACTAAGGTTCCATGGATAAACAAAAATTTCTCTTAACCACTGAGCCATCTTTCTGGTCCTTGGATTATGTTTTAAAATGAATACCAAAACTATAGATATTTCTCTTACCAATAGTTTTTTGTTTATTTTAGATATTGATCCTTTATATTCAGTAACTATAATACAAATGTGACAGTACTTTACCTGGCTAACTATAATCTATCTGTAAGAATTTTGAGTTAAAAAAATGAATAGCAATCCCATATCCATGACCTCTATAAATAGGAACAGAGCAGGTAACAACAGTGGCATGATAGCTACTGAATATGCTAATTGAATCTTAACTAGATGGACAAGTCAGGCTTGTCGATCCAACAACATCTCATGCTTACCCTTATTCTTTCACACTACTAACTCAATTCTTATTATACTGTCACCTGATGAAATTGTGGTCATGGAAGCTTACTAATGTATAAGCTCATTCTTTGTATCTCTTTCTGAACTCTGGCTGGCTGGTTCAACTCCGCTGTTCTGGCTCAAAGGTCTTCCGCACACTGACTGATTTAAACTGGTTTCTCCATCAGCTTCTCAGTGAATTCTTCTGATTGGCTTCAAACTAAATGTGGCAATTTGTTTTAATATGGCTTCTTATTCTCTACCTTTCACTGCCTCTGCAGACCTTCACTGAACTGCATGAACTCCCGGAAGTCCCAAAGAACTCAACTCCACTGTACTGCACTCACTGCACTGACTCACAACTGACTGACTGAACTCAACACTACTGTCTTTTCTACTGAACTCTTTACTGTACTAAAATTGACTCCTTTCTCTACTGCAATGTCTTCTCTTCTGAACTCTCTACTTCACTGTGTTCTCTTTTGTAATCTTTCTCTTTTGTATCCTATTCTGCTATCTTAATTCTACTGTACTGCTCTTAAGTAGCTTCTCTTTCCTGTTTGTTCTCAGAGTTGGTTATATCCTATCACTGACTTGTTCCATCAGATCTTTTTCTCATTTGTTACTTTGCCCCTCAATTAGATATCACTTTTAAACATAAATACTTCCTTCTACAAACTAACTTTACCTTTGTTATTTGGGATTAAAGGTGTATACTAAGAGTGTATCTGCATTCTAGCCAGACAGATTAAAATAGGTCATTCCAGCTGAGTCACACAGACATTCAAGGTCTTTGGATGTGATTCCTTGCTAAGCATTCATGTTGCCAGATAAAATTCCTCTATATTTTATTACATGTTACATGTATTTTATTACATATTACATGTTACCAAGACATTAAACTACTACAGTACACACAATCAAAAACCCAATCTTAATTTTCTGGCAGATGGGGATTCACATAGAATCTATATTAGTGTTCCTTTAGCAAAGCTTATACCGCATTTATTAACTTCTATGTATCTATCAGATATCCGACAACTAGCACAACATAGGCACTCAGCAGATATTTTATATTAAGTGTAAATCTAGAATCCAAGCCTCTTCTTTGACTTATTCCATCTAAAAGAATATTGCTCAGCAGTAATAATCTTCCCTTATAATTATTTCTAAAAGTTTCTCCATATAAATCTTGTCAGGAATTTAAGTAACATTGAATAACTATTTTAGATCTTTCAATAAAAAAGATGTTGTTAATTTTAGATGTTATGATCCATACATTTTAAAGTAATTATTTTGTTTTGTTAAAGCTAGAAAAATGAATAGCCTAGCAAAACAAGGTTGAAATTCCAGTGTTTTTAGGGCTGTAGTAGGAGGACTACCATAAGTTCCAGGCCAGCCTGAGCTACGTAGTAAAACATTGTCTCAAAAAATGGAAATACATACATACATATGTACATACATACAGACATACATACATGTTCTTCTGTATATGAAGCTGCCTTATTTCTAGCTTCAAGAAGCCAACAGCTTTATTAGAAAGTACGTTGTTTTTTTCTCTAATTTTCCTTAAACTGTTTCTTATTTCTGACTCAGAATAAAATAGTATAGGGAAGAAAAAAATCTCTTTGAACACCCATTGCATGATGTATTACTTAACACCACTGTAAAAATACAGATTAAAAGAAGATCATATAAAGTAAATAAATGTGTTTCCTGTTATAGGAGCCTTCAAAAAAGGAGGGGACCCTATTTTTTTATGAACAGTTATATAAAAATCTGAATTGAAGATGTAATACCCAGAGAGTCCCCAAACGACCAACAGGCTTTGAATCCGATGCAAAACACACGATGGTCTTTTATTACAAACTCAAGCTATTTTCTGTTTTTTAGAAAAGAAAACCTAGTATTTTTTTTTCCTTGCCTGTGGCATTATTGATGTTTGATATCACTTGCAACCAAAGATAGGTTAACAAAGAGAAAAAGAGAAAAAAAAAAAAAAGAAATATATATATTTATTTATTTATTTTTACATTTTATAATATCCTTTATTACTTCATTGGTCACTTACCTATTCATTAAATCAACTACATTTAAAATGTCAAGTAATAACACCTTTGATTTTTTTTTTATTCCAGACCACTTTGTACCAGTTAACGTCTTTTTTTTATTCAATTTTTATTTAATTTTATTTTTTTTCTTATCAGTTACATTTTATTAACTTTGTATCCCAGCCATGTCCCGATCCCTCATTCCCTCCCAGTCCCTTCCTCCCTCCCTCATATCCACCGTGCCCCTTTCCAAGTCCACTGATAGGGGGACCTCCTCCCCATTCATCCGATCCTGTTTTATCAGGTATCTTCAGGACTGACTGCAAAGCCCTCCTCTGTGGCCTACAGGATTGCTCCTCCCTTGGAGGGTGGGGAGGTCAAAGAGCCAGTCATTGAGTTCCTGTGGGAAACCAATTGGTTACTGAGCTACCACAGGCTACATCTGAGCAGAGGTTCTAGGTTATATCCATATATGGTCCTTGGTTGAATGTCAGTCTCAGAAAAGAAATATATTTAACTGCTTTATGTGACAAAGGAGTAGTCCAGATAGGAAGACTCCTGAGGAGGTCCATTTGCATATTGTCTGATGAAAGGAATGTCTGGTTCCAGATAAAAATGATTAGATAAAAGTGGTATGAAA